TTTACCAGGTTTTCTGTGTGTGAGTCCCCCTTAAATGGGATCCTTATGAATAGTTCTTTCAAATTAAGCGGTTACGCATATAAGGCTATCCTGTTACTGATAGATACCTGCTTGGGTGATTAAATTTTCGAGTGTATCTATCTTGCGTAACTTCATCCCAGTCCCTCTCCGGGTCTCAGATCACAATTCTCAATTTCATCTGTCCATCTCTCTGCCATTTTCCATTTAACTTTTGACCGCCCACCCCCTTCACGACTCTATAGTATTGACTATAGCACCATAGTCTTGTCATATTTGCTTGCTCTGCTTGCTCGCCTCTGTTATCATTTTGGAACTGTTCTGTAATCGGTACAAAAGAGGTTGCACCGGTTGATAGTAATCACGTCTTTAAAACTTGGCCAGCTTCCGATTCATGACTTATGGATTTGACCTTGATTGTATCATTTCACTTTGTACCCGATTTTAAATTTTTACGCCCACTTGGATTGTTCTGTACCCACATTACAGATTGATAGAACAGTTCTGTATTGGAGATTACTGATCGATATAGTTTGAGTCCGACATGTCATAGCGGGATAAAAAGAAGAGCAAAGATTGTCTTATGGACCGAAAATGAGTGAGGAAAAACGGGTCGGGTAACGGGTACCGGTGGCGGCGGAGCCGCGGTGGCGGTGGCGGACGAGGCATTTCCTAACAATCTAACCAGACAGCACACATTCAGGTAGCACGAAGTGATTCGTCGGCACATTTCATGGTCCGCTATGAGCACACGAGTTCCAGAGAAGCATGTGTGGATCGTGGTGCTATTGTTAGTCAAAATATTCAACGGGACATTAACAGGCGTGTACCACTGAGCTCTGTGCTTTTTGGGATTATTGTTGGTTGTTGATAATCTCTCTTAAGGATTAATTTGGAATTATGTGCACAAGCATCAAGAAAAAACGGATGTGTTGGACCACGCACCAAGAGCGTGCAATATGACGGGTGCGATACGCACTGGATGCGCTGGTCTCAAGCAAGAAAAACACAAATTCGTGGACTCGTTCAAGTTTAAGTTTTCATTTTGAAAATTGTGTGCAACAACTGTCTAGTGCAATCACGTCTGAACATGACAAGTGGTACAGAAGTATCGCCGTCGGAATTGGACGTCACAGTGATTCACCACCAACCGACCAATTCTTCACCGACGATAGCACTATCATCTACACCATCCATCAAAAGTGGTCCCAGGCGACAAGTGGCTAAAAAGTAGAATTCAGTTATAGACAGTAATAAAACCGGGAGCGCCGATCCCACACACATTGCACCGGAATCTATCTATGTTGCACAAGCGGATACCAAAGACAGGAGGCAGGAGAACGCGGGTCAGTGAACAAAGGTCACAGGCAAGCGGAGAAGATCATTGCCCGCCCATTAGCAATGCTTCCTGGCCCTCAACATGCCGGAGGCCACAACACCAGTGGCTCAAGAATGCCTCAATTATGAAGCGACGAAGTTACGCGAGATGTTCACCAAATTATTCTCCTCGAACGAGCAAGATCTGGCAAACAAGCTAAAGGTAAGAGCCTTCTTTTGTCTGGGAAAGGTGGAAGAAAACGAAAACCCGAGCTCACTGAAAATAGTCCTCAGATCAGAGGACGAAGTGAAATCGGTGCTCCAGAGAGCCCATAAACTGAAAGGAGAGACGTTACGTCTACACCGAGACCTGCAACCGGAAGACAGAGAAAAGCTGAAGGCAGCCCTAAGTGAGTTACACGAACGCAAGGCTAATGGCGAGAGTAACCTGTACATTCGAGATTTGGGGTTCTGAAGAGGAGGCTCCAGGTGAATTGGATTCTCCTGGGAGCGTCTAAGTGAGGAGGTTTGTGGAGAAAGTTGATCAACACCGGCAGGCTTACATACTGCTGACCAATGTAAGAGGACTGCTGGAGAAGCGGGATGGCCTAGAGTACTTGGTATCGCACAAGGCACCGACAGAAACGTGGCTCACAGACGACATTTCAGACAGGTAGGTGGCTATCGCAGGATATACCCTTTATCGCTTCGACAAGTGTTGTACCAGAGGCGGCGGCGGTGGCAATGCCAGTGGATACACCCACAGTCTATTTAGGCTGTCATAGGGACCCCGAGAGATATGTTGAGAGCCCATGGTGCCAAACAAAACTCACGGCCAGAGGTCACACGACCACTGATATTATCTCCCGGTCTCCCGGAGCAAATGTCTTCGAACTACTCACTGGGATGCACCAATGGGCGAACAGCGGTCACTGTCTCATCATGGGGGACTTCAATTCCCCAACTATCGATTGGACCAACCAGGCAGGATCGGATCAATTCGCACGCAAGTTGATGAATACCATGCAAAAGATGTCATTTCATCAACACGTCACGCAACCCACCAGGAGACAGGAAGATCACGCCTTCCTGCTTGACTTGGTAATCTACCCGCCGAAATCTGACGTTCAGGCAATCCATTACCTACCATGATTGAGTAGCCGTGAACATATCATGCTGGAAATCTGCTAGAAAAGAGGCAGAAAATTTGTGCCGAAGCCACATGGTGGACCAAACATCTAGCGGATGTCATTCGAGGAGGCCAGAGTCGCAGCGTAAAACCTTTCTTGGTACCCTCAGGGTACATAAACGGTTGATCGCGCCTGGGAGACCATAATGCATTGTATTGTCTATCTTTGTCAAACCGTGGTACCACCATTTCGGCAACAGACGCATACCATAGGTCCACCTTGGTTTAACGCCAACCTTAGATCACTCCTCGGACGGAGGAGGAACCGGGCTTGGAAACGTTACCGGTCGACAGGAGATGGTTATGAGTGCTACCAGGAAATCCAAAATCAATGTACAGAGCTCAAGAGATGTAACCGTCGATACTTTGAAAGCACCAAAACGTCTCTTCGCTTACCTGAGAAGAACAAGAACAAGAACTACAGCGGCCATCCCAGCACTCCTGGACAACGCATCCACGTTGACCTAGACAAGAGGAAGACAGATTTGCTGGCTGCACATTACCACACTGTGTACGAGAATGAGACAGGAGATATCAATCTACCGGTACCAACTGGCATAGGCTCCATGCACTTTGACGAGCTAACAGAACGGGAGGTATTCGTGGTTCTGTAATCGATCAAAACCGACCAGTCTCCTGAACCGGATGTTGTCCACCCGTTAGTGGTTAAAGAGCTCGCCGAGGCGTTGACACCTCCCGTCACACTCCTGTTCAATACGTCCGTGGCGGAGGGCAGACTGACTCAGGAGTAGAAGAAGGTGGTCATAGTCCCAGTGTATAAAGGTGAACGGAAAAAGGATCCCTGCAATTGCCGACCGGTCAACCTGTGGTGGGTAAAACATTGGAACGTTTTCTAACCAAACGGATCCATCAGCATCTGGCAGCCAAAGGTCTTTTTGGCGAACAAAAACATGGATTTCGCGAGCGCAGATCTTACTTGTCAAATCTGCCGGTGGCACGGGAACACTGTTCGCAGAATAAGGCAATGAGGCATCCTGCGGACGTCATCTTTATCGATTTTAGCAAAGCCTTCTACAAAGTACCACATTATCGTTTACTGTTAAAAATGAGGACTCATGGTATCGGGGACTCATTGGTTCGTTGGATAGCAAATTCCCTGGGAGGGCGCACATTCTGTGTTGGAGTTTCTGGACAACATCGCGTTAGTTTGAGGCTTCTAGTGATGTTACACAAGGCTCAGTTCTATGCCGTTTACTTTTCCTAACCTAAATCAACGACCTTCCGGTTTTCCTACGATCCCAGTGCCTAATACATGTTGATGATCTCAAGCTATGGCGGGCGGTGACCTCGGATGACGACGTCCGTGCTCTACAGGAAAACTTGATAGCCCTGGAGCGCTTGTCCGCTGGATGGTTTCTGCCAATTAATACCTCAAAGTGTGCGCATATGTGTGTGGATCCAGCAGAGGGCACCTTGGAGTACATCATACACGGCAACCCTCTTCATTCATCCGCTTACGAATAGGATTTTGGGGTAATCATGGCTTCCAACCTAAAAACCAGTAGCCACGTTGACAGGGTATGTGCATCGGCCTGGCGAATACTGGGAGCCATACGGCGGTCTTTTAGTGGACTTTCCATCAGTGCATTCAACGTTCTGTACGCCTCACATGTGCACCGCAGATTGGAATACGGCGGCCCAGTGTCGTTTACATGTTCATTAGCAGAAGCACAGGAGCTGGAACAAGCAAAGCGCAGTGCCCCGTTGTCGGAAAGCGTGGGATTAACTACGACGGACCAGAGCACCAGAGCACCAGAGCATGGAAAACTTAAGAAAAACACAAATCATAACGTATAGTTAGTCGTCCGTTTCTGTGAAATGAACAACTAAAAATGCAAGTGAAGTTTCTCTAACCGAAAATGAACTTTGAATAAACAAATGAATTAGCCAACTTTTTCAGCTTTCAACTTTCCTGACCACCGGATACAAACATTGCATTTGTTTATAGTGGGCACAGGTGGATGGAGATGTAGCGAATTTGTGCAGGATCTAAATCGTGCATGGTCGATAGACTAACTTAATGGCTAATTATTTTTTTCATCGGCATTCATACTGTCGAGATCACCCATACCCGTTTGGCTATTTGGATTGAACAAAAACTGCACACTCTTGTGTGGAATTTGCTACACAGTTTTGATAATTATCCTGGTATACATAACCGATCAAGTGATTCGCATCGCTCAATTGATGTCATTCACGGGGATGTTTACCATTCGAGACACAGTGTTTCCATGTTTCCAAACACTGGACAGTGGGTCGAATTTCAGTTCATCTTTGATATTCCCCCCAAAATTTATGAATTTTCTTGCTTGTGTGCAAACCCGCAGACGGTCTCTGATCGTACACACACACACGTCGACCCCTATTTGAAAAATTAACTGTGATTGTTTGTAGTCAATACAGGGAGAGTAAAGAAATATTCGAACTTTGATGCCTTGATCAACATGTACCATTTCCTCATGGCGCCTCCCCTTTTACCACATGGAAACTGATGCCACGGGTTCAAATTATGTTCTCTTCTTTTCCTCATCTGAGGCGAGTCGCTCGTTTTTTTTTTGGATCAACCTCTTGTGTGTGTGTGTGTGTGTGTAATTTTGTTAAAACGCGTTTGATATCTCCGAAATCATGTGGAACCGTCTGGTATTTTTTATCTAAATAGATCAAATTGTGACTTGTAATACGATGTGATGCGCAAAAATGTCTAGTAAAATATACAGTGACAACCAACTACCTACAGTGCTTCAGGTCGCCTAGATCTGGCCAGTGGTAGTCGAGGTAACGGTGATGGTTACTGAGATCTAATCTGGTCTTTGTCTGTTTAATTTCTATCCTTTCATCCACCAAACATGATTAACTAGATGGATTCGAAGTTTACTGACGCTTTTAGTCTTCAGGATTGAGGACAGAGGGCAGGGTACCCGTGTAAGCTCTATCACCACTGGGTCAAAGATNCCTCCATAGCCCCTTCAGGTGCTCATCCAGACGCCGTTTGAAAGCAGTATCTATCTTCTCGTTCACCACAATCGCTGGAAGGGAATTCCAGAGTGTTTTTGACCTACGCGAGAGTCGGTAGACTAAAGTAAGATCAACTGACTAAAATTCCCGCAACGTGATAGTGTCCCCGCGTGTTATGCTCTGTCCGTAAAGGGAAGTACAGCTCCGGGTCCATATAACCTTTCAGGATCTTCCTCAGGCAGATGAGATCTCCCCTGAGGCGTCGATACTCAATTGGGAACAGACCAATAGCCTGTAGACGATCTTCATAGCTTATCCCACGTAGTCTAGTGGCAGCACGTTGTACACGCTCCAATTTATCCAGTTTACCGGCCGTGCAGGGGTATGTTGCTGCAACACCATACTCAAGTCTTGGTCTGAATTGGGAGGCATACAGAAGCCTGAAAGCATACCTGACGGATGGGTTGCACAGTTGACCGGACAGGTCGTTCACATATACCACAAAGAACAATGGACCAAAACCCGAGCCTTGAAGGATCCCGTTGGGAGTGGAATACCACGCAGAGAGCGATTTGCCAACACGGGCGCAGAAATTCCGGTTAATGAGGAAGTCTCGCAGCCAATTCCGCATGACCACACCTACACCTAGGTTGGACAGCTTTCGCAGCAGGAGGTCGTGCGGAACCTTGTCTAAGGTCTTACTGAAGTCCACGGAGATGATGTACGTATGACTTGGGCAGGGGAGGTTACTGCGTGCATCTGTGTGAATTGACCACGAATAACGTGCAGTGTGTGATTCAATTTGGTCCACTTCAATAGTAGATGCGCACGAAAAAAAACCAGCTTTGTAAGCAAATGCGGTGGGCTTTGTGAAATGCTGTGTATCCATTTACTTAGATTGCTTTTCAGGAGGGATAAGCCATCCAAGGCGTGTGACCGTCTTTTATAAATGAGTCTCAAAAACGAGTACAAAGGATTCCGGACTAGGGGAACTGAAAGACACTGCGGATAAACGTGTGCCTAGTTCATATCCAGGACTGTTTGTTTGCTTCTCACACTGAGTGGGGAAGGAAGGGATAGATGTCTTTTATTTTTTGTATTTTTTACGTCTTTTGAAAGTGCAAAAGATCATAGTCAAAGTCCAATTTTTATTATGTGTATTACCTACAAGCAGATGCTTTTCTTGTCCCACAGAGTGTTTACACGAGTTGAATTGTAACTATGATGAACCAAATTTCATATGATGTATTCGATTGTGTTATGTGTGCTCCTGGATGTTGGAATGCAATGTGTTAATGATTCGTCAGGTT